GAGCTATACTTTTTAGATTCTAATTCTCAACCAGTCTTTTTGATCTGTGTAATTTCAGGCAAATTGCTTAACTGCTCTGTACTTTTGTCTTTTTATATGTGAGATGAGCATAATAATAATACTTAACTGGTAAGAGTTGTGATGAATATTATATGTGCTAATGTACGTAAGAGCTTAGAATGATGCGATGTAAATTTTAGCCATCATTAGGTTTTCAAAGTGTTGCTAATACACAAATGCAGTGTTGTTTCTTGACTTCATATTCAGCAACTTTGATTAAAACTCTTTCTCTAAATATTCTAATTTTTTTCTCTTACTTTAGTAAGATGCATTGAACTTCTAAAACTTACATAGAAATGGAAAAGTAGCTGGAATAGTGAAGTAAATGCAAGACTTAACATAAAGTGCAGTAATCAAACCACTGTGACAGTGTTGAAAAGATTGATATATAAACCAGTGGAGAAGCATATAGAGTCTAAAATTGACCCACATGTATAGGATGAGTTGATTTTGAGCAGAATTGCTAGTGTAAAAATTCAATAAAGGAAAATCTTCCAACAAGTAGTTTTTGGACAGGTGGGTATCCATGTTGGAAAAAATAAATTTTGATTAGTATCTCACACCATACTGACAGATTGACTTGAAATGGATCTTAAACCTGTCTGTAAAACTTAAACCTAAAAAACTCCTAGAATAAAACCTAGGAAGGGGGGCTTTCCAGGCGGTCTAGCAGCTAAAACTCAGTGTGCTTCCACTGCAGGGGGCACAAGTTTAATCCCTGGTCAGGGAATTGGAATCCCACGTGCTATGCAGTGTGACATGGCCAAAACAAAACCAATAAATAAATAAATAAATCTTATATTAAAAAACACTAGAAGAAAATCTTTGCAACCTTGGGATGTGCGAACGTTTCTTAGATAAACCACAAAAAGCACAAACCATAAAAGGAAATAGTTTATGTATTGTATACACATCAACATTTTAAAAGTTTTCAGTGGCTTGAAAGATACCATCAAGAAAACCAAAAGGCAAGCTTACAGACTTGAAGAAAACAAATTAGTTGTATCAAGGTGTACAGGGAATTCACAGCTCAATAATAAGAAAACAAATCATTAAAAATGGGCAAAAGATTTGAAAAAATATTTTACAAAAGATGGTATATGAGTGGCAATAAGCACATGAAAAGATGCTCAGCACCCCTAGTCATCAGCAAAATGGAAATTAAAATTACTGTAATATATTATTACATACCCTTTAGAAGCATCTTGATTTGGTGGATTGTTGTCTTTTACTGGTCCTAGAAATGATCTTTTCACATATGCCATCTTCACACTTTTTCTTTTCTTAGTTTCTGGAATTTTGACTAGACCTGTTAAATTCTCTTTCTCTGTTCTGAGTATCTCAAACTTTCTGTCCTGTTTTTTCCTTTATCTCTCTGAGCTGCATCCTGAATAATTCCTTAGGGCCTTTCCATTTTATTAATGGTCTCTTCACCTTTGTCTAATCTGTTGTTAAACTTGTCTGATAACTTTAAATTTCAGTAATTGTGCTTTTTATTTCTAGAAATTTTATTCTTTTTTTTTTTCAGTATCATCTGCCTTATAGATACTTTTCAGCATAGCTTTTATTTTTCCAAACATACTATCTAGAATCCTCATCTGATAATTCCAATGTTTGAAGTCTTTGCAGTTATTTTTCTGCAATTAGACATTTCTTTTTCTACTTTCTTCTTTTTGAGTTATTCACTTACTTGGGAAATAACTTGGGACTTCTTTGAGGCTTAGCCTCAAGATGGTATGTTCCTCCAGAAAGAATTTACTTGTTTGCAACATCAAAGGATTTGTGTCTGGGACCATTTCAATCTAAATCCATAATTTTGTTAATTTTCCCTTGAATTCCAAAGAAATGTGAACTTAGGCTGCAAATTCACATGAGGACTTACTTTTGGTTAGACCTTTTCAGGAACTGTTTTGTCTCCTCTCTGTTAGACACAAAGTCAGCTTTCCTTGTAGTCTTCTGAAGGTAGGAGAAGTAGGTAATGGGATGGGTTATTTTAGGTTTATACTGTTGGATTAATGTCATGGAGGTCTCCTGTTGACTTCCTTCCTCTTGGACTAACCTTGGGATTTGCATCTTGTCCATTACGCATGAGGATGATAAAAACCAAAGCTGTTTGATAGAGTGAGATTTTTAGCCGGGTTACTCGTAATCATCTTGTTAGCTGTTAGGTTTTTTTCTTTAAAAAAGATCTTTTTACTGTTCATTGGACATATCTGCCACAAGGTTGGTCTTTGTTATTTAGTCTGCTACTATATCCACATTTAAGAAAAATAACATTTTGTGCCTTTTTTCCATAATATATATAGTTTGTAATGTTTCAAATGGCTCTGTATTTTGTCTAGTGACCCATAATTTATATAATAATTCTCCAATTTAGACATTAAGCTTGTTTCTTTAGGGTTTGCTATTATAAACAATAGCACTGAGAAACACTGAAACACTGATAAACTGATTTCATAGATAAAAATGTTGTCTATTTGTATTACCTTAATTGCTATTGGTAATACATTTTCGAATGTAAAATACCTGTGATATAGCTATTCAAATCTTAAACCTTTTCCTGTAAAGTTTGTGTAAACCAATGTCTAACAGGTTAATTTGCTAAAATGTTTCTGCTCTTGCTTACTTGAGGAATGTAGATTTATGGAAACTTTACAAATGTTTCTTTTGTCAAATATTAATAGGTGTTCTTGTACTTGGAAACAATTATTTAAAATTTGGCCCTGGAACATTTTACCAGTTCTTTCATTTATTGCTATTTAATGTTCAGTGAGAGTTAATATCAAAAATTTTCCTCATTTCTCTCAAACCTACTGCATATCTTCTGCCTCATACCACTCCCCCGCCATAACCACTTGTCTTAGACTTCTTGTTTTGTTTTTAAAAGTACCTCCCTCGCCTTTCTGACAAATCTCAGTGATTTACAGTAATTAACGTTTATTCCTCTCACATAACTGAAACCTAAACAACTGTGAATCAACTTTTGCATACTTCCCTCACATGTCTTTTTGATCGAGGGTCCAGGCTGTAGGTGTCACTCCATTTGAGACGTGGCATTCTCGTGGCAGAAGGTGAAAAAAATCAGAGAGCTGGTGTAAACCCATAATGCTTCCTAAGGCTTGCAGTCTATGTCATGACTGTCTGTGTGTTCCTATCATGTGATTGAATGCAGTGGCGTTGCATACAAATGTATGTTCTGCAGGAGACACTGCAAGTCACATAACTAGCCAGAGTTAGATGGAAGGGTCAAGTGAATACTTGGCAACCATATTTCTTCTTTCGTTTAACTTCCCAGTGTAAATTTTCATAACAACTCATATCCATATTGAAGTGTCTTGGGTAAGTCTTCCTCTATGCCTTAAAATAGTTGTTATGAAAATGAATCATGTTACCTATGATCTTCAGCCTACTTGAATATAAGTTTAGCAAGGGCAGAGATGCTTGTATGCGTTATTCAGTGCTTCCTTAGCACCAGAGGGATGCTTGTCTTCTCCTGTGCTTTCAGTGATATTTCTCTTATTTCATCAGTTACTGTATTTCTCATTTTTGTGTCTTCATTTATTGTCAGTTCTCTCTGCTCGCTCTGTCCCTGAAGTCTCTTTATGACTATATTTTCTTGAATTACTTTAATAAATCATAGCACATATTTAACAAATTCTGTTAAATAATTCTCTTTAATGAAGAGAATAAACTTATGTGATCTTTTAACTCCTCTGGAAAACACAGCCTACATACTTCCTATAAATATGCATATCACTGTTTCATTTAAAAAAAAAAATCAGAAACCAAATCCCTCCCTTTGACTTACAGTCTAGCTTCTCACTATCGCTCTGGAACTCTTGCCTCCCATTTATGTTTCTCACTCTCCTGACTTGTATTGACCCCTCTCCCTGAAATTCCGTCTCTTGATCATGAGGGACTATAATTCATTGTTTTCTTTTCTGAGGTTGTTCTCTCTCTCTTTTTCTTGGAAATTTCCTCTTTCACTTAAGTGTACTGATACTCCCTGGTTCTCTTTTTAGCTTTCTTCATTTCTTGTCTTTTGCCCTTTTTGGTGGAATTTTTCTTCATGTGGCTTTTACATTTATTTCTGTATAGATGATTTACAAATCTGTATCTTGTAGTAGTTAAAAATTCTGAGTTTACCCCCTCATTTCCACTGTGGCATTGCCATTTGCATGTCTTACTATCACCTTGACCTTAATTTGTCCTAAATCAAACTGTTTTCCTACTAGTAATGATTCCACTATTTAGAGCTGACTCCTGTATTTGTTGATGGTGCACAGTCACCAGGCTTCTAAACGGAGAAGGAATATCAGCCTTTGTTTGGCATCTGGTACTCACTAAGCACTACTTTTCACTTAATGTCCAGCTCAAGTGCTACCTCCTGAGAAGCCTTCAAACAGTCCCAGAGATCCTTTGCAATCCCTTCTTCTTAGACCACTTGCAGTACATTTGTATTTAAACCTCTAGATCCTCAGCATGTGAATCTTATATAATTAATAATTTTACTTTGAAAAGCCTCTCAAAGGCAAGGATTTTTATTTCATATTTCTTTTTATGAGCACAGTACCCCACAGGTACAGTATAGTTTAGTGAATATTTGATGATTTTTACATAGAAACAGTGCTCTAAATAAGGGCAAGAATATCAACCTAAATAACAAAACCAAATAAAACTAAGTAGCAAACTAATAACTCAGAATGAAATATTAATAACATTCTAGCTGTAGTCTTAAACCTTGAACCCAGTTGAAAGGGATTAGCCTCTGGAAGTGACAGAGGCTCTTAGACAACACAACAAGGATCATCTGTTGAACAAATGTTTACTCGTAATAGAATCTCTTTGTCCACAATATACCCTCATATGGCCATTTTATTGTGTTGATAACCATCTTTATAGAAGGTAGTGTATTTATTTCATCTTCTCTTCCCCATTAGGTGCACCAGGAATCATTTCCTCACCATATGCAGGGGCTGCTGGATTTGCACCTGCTATTGGATTTCCTCAAGCTACAGGTGACTCTTTTAAAGCTGAAGTTGAAATGATTTCTTAATGATGACTTATATATTCTAGGAAATTATCAAAATGAAAGATATGACCATGTTTGAAGGATTTACCAGAAAAGCGTTACATGTGTCAGTCATGGAAGTGGCTCGTGGACAGTAGATGATTGTACAGCTTCCTTCTGTTTATACATAATTCTGGTTTCATTCTCAGCACTAAAATTCTGTTATCTGTTCTGCATCATCTATACTTGCCATTGGCACAGATAACTATAGGTTGACTATATTAAATAACCTGAGGTTTGTCTCTTTGGTTGTTATATAAAACAGATGAGCTGCTTGCTGATAAGCAGCTCAATTACATGTTAAATAGACTTCTGTCTTACTTATCCTTACTGCCTATAATGGCATTCAGTACTTATCATGCAGACAGCAAACATTTGAATTAATAAACATTTACTATTTTATCTGTAAGTACTTTTTAAAAAAAAATTAATGGGTTTGGAAGATTACTATAGAGGATATGCATGCTGTTTTATTTCAGAAAATATATATATATATATGTATACACATTTTTTTCTTTTAGCTAGTGAAAATAATTAAGAGAGAGAGAGTGATCAGTTAATGCTTTGATAATGACTCTGACTCTTCCAGCTAATAAGCAAAATGAATTTGATTATAACTGAAGGAGAAAAAATACTTTATGGTTTTGTGCTTAAAGAAAACACTTGAGGTTGATGATTGGAAGAGTGATGCAGTGTTAAGTCTAGTCTACATATTACCTTTATAGCTTCCAGCTGATCTGTGAATATAACTATTTTAAACTGCAGCATAGCTACTTTCTGACAATGATGTTTGTATCCTCCCTTTCTAAGTCTGGGAATTGTAACTCTTCTCTTCAGGAGAGAGGATGAAGTTAACTAAAAAGAAAGAGTGATTTGAAAGGTTGAGATTTTTTAAAGTTTTAGGTTTCTGGTGGTTTTAAGACATTTTAACATATGTTTAATTAAGTGAGTGATCTTATCTATGTCATTAAAATGAAGGCATTATACATTGTGTTTATGTGTTTGAAGCTCCCAAGAGCTACACATTTGGAGGTAGCGATATATGGTTTCCTTCATTTTGGGTATTTTTTTGACATGCTGTATCTATAAAACACTGTAGTAGATGTTAAGAAGGAGAAAAAAAATGCATGAAGAGGGCTCCTGAGTTGATAAGGCTTTTCAGGTGTAATAGAGGGGTATATGCATACACTTGATTTGTGATAAAGTGGCCAGATTCTATTATAAGGAATTTTGAACTTAGAATCAATACATTAAAGAATTGGCTCATTTTACATTAACTGGGAATTTTATCTTTGACAGTTTTTAAGCTGAGAATACAAATAATTGGACCTTGTGAAGAAGTGTAGTGTTTTGGGTATTGTATATAGTGTCAATATTCCAGTATTATAGGGCTTTCAGTAGTTTCTGCAGTATCTAGGGGAATAGAGAGCTCTGAAAATTCTTGCTCCAAAATAATATTGAATTCCATAAATTTGTTGTTGATGGTAATAATGTTTTACAAGGTTACAAAATGTTTTCTTCCCCCATGCAGAATATATGTATACAATTTACCTGTTTTAGATATACAACTCAGTGATTTTTAATAAATCTACAGAGTTGTACAGCCATTATTACCACAGTCCAGTTTTAGAACATGCATTACTACCTAGCTTGCATATATGTGACTTCTGCTGAAGGGCTTTTAGGATATATATATGTAAACGCACACACACACACACATATATATGATGTAATGGTAGAAGTCAACATGAAAATTATATCTGCTTTAGAGAAATGTATTGGAATATATCTATTTCAAGAAATAGAAGGAGTACTGGTAGTTATAGACCCTTTTAAAAAACCTCATGGCTTTAAGACTGGTGAATTTGGTTGGTCTGCAAAGTGTTATATAGAGTATTAAGTATGATAATGTCAACAAATGAGAAACTCTACGTCCAGAGTCTGGATTGACCTCTGTTATCCTTATGGTAGCTTTGAAACATTTTCTTCTCTATTTTTGCTTTTGCATTCATTTATTTTCTTAAGTTGCATCAAGTGTTATAATTCTCCAGATAACTAGAATGTGAAATGCTTCTGCTGTTTTGTAAAGGTCTCTCGGTCCCAGCTGGACTAGGTCCCGGAGCTCTCGGCCCCCTCGCAATCACCTCCTCCGCTGTCACTGGAAGGATGGCCATTCCTGGGGCTGGTGGTATGCCAGGAAATTCTGTTCTGCTTGTCACCAATCTTAATCCTGATGTGAGTTGGAAAGTATCATATGTAAAAAGTCTTTCAGGAGGAAATATTGTAGCTTCTGTCTTCGAGTTGAATTCAAATGGAAATGTTTAAGAATTTGTATTAAAGTTCATCACTAGTACATATAAGAAGCATGTAAAAAAGCAATGCTTGAAACACAGTCAACTCTCATTTTTACAAATAAACTTTTAAAAAAATTTTAGTTAATGAGACCCTTATATTTTGTGTTCTCCTTTTCAAACAGCTCATCACACCACATGGACTTTTTATACTATTTGGTAAGTAATTTCTTTAGCTTTACTATTTTTTTTTATTATTATTATTAGCTATGATGTGAATTGAGCCCTTTGCATCATTCAGTAATACTTACTGCTGCTGTGTGTCAATTAGTGTGTTTGACACAGGATGGAATAACAAGGAAGATTTGTTAAGTGATTATAGGTAAAACAAAGTTTTATAAAAAGGGGAATAGAGATTGTAATAAGAACATACAGCTGGAAGACCTAACCTTGCTGAGGGAACCAAATACGATGTACAGAGAAATGATAGTTAAGCTGACTTGTGAGAAATGAGGAAGTGTTGTGTTAGCCAGGCAGAAAGGGAGGGCGAATGTCCTTTCACAGATACTAGCAGTGAGAGACAGAGCTCTCGGACCCTGGAAATGAAGGAAACTTAGTGGACAGGGTAAGGGTGAGACGTGTTGAAGCTGGACAGACGAATAGGGACAAGGCCAGTAAGAGCTTTGTAAACTATATTAAGGAGCTTGGTTTTTAACCTAAGAACAATGGGAATCCATAATGAGATTCAGATTTTAAAATAATCCCTAGACTTTTTAATACTGTACCTCTCTCAGTTAAAAAAAAAGTAACATGTACTCTATATATGATTAATTAATCATAAATTTCACCAATCTTTTACTGTACTCTTTATGTATAGTGTTATATTACAAACAGAAATACAAGAACTATGAAGTAAGCAATGTTTAATATTTTAAAGATTTTTATTACAAAGTTTTTTAAATAAAAATCTTGTTAACATTTAGTGAGAAATAAGATTTAATATGCTTCATTATTTTCAAAAATCTTTTTCACTTTGAATCAGCATTCCAAAATCTGATTCTAAATTCACTTTGTTTTCATACTTGATGGTAGTTGTAACTGAAACAGATACCTCATAAGAATACACTGGCAGTCCAGTGGTTAGGACTCCGTGCTTCACTGCTAGGTTCTGGGTCCAGTCTCTGGTTGGGTAACTGAGCTCCCGCAAGTCACGTGGCATGGCCAAGAAAACATTTTAATTGAAAAATATAAAAATGTGATATGAATGAAAGTGTTGCATTGTTGCTGTACTAATTAAGATACTAATTTTTTAGTCTAATCCACTAAATTTTGATGTATTTTACTTGGAAAAAGTTTCATGTTTCCTCTTGTTAAATTAGTTGATCTTGAAATCTATTGCATTAGAATAATGGGGCTAAAACTTACTAATAATCTTCATTTGGAAAAATTTTTAATAGAATGAGAGATTGTTTCAAATTTTTTGAGTGGATAATAGGTTTTTTTTTAACAACATCTTGCAGATATAATTTACAGCCATACAATTCACTAACTTAGGTATACAACTCAGTGATTTTTAGTCAATGTACAGAGTTGTGCAGCCATCACCAGAGTTCAATTTGAGAACATCTCTGTCACCCCACAGAGATACTTCATACTCATGTACAGTTTCTATAATAGTTTTAATTCATGACACATTTATGTGATTATCAGTAACAAAATCATGTGTTCATGCTAAATTTTCATATGTCTCTTTAGTAGCCAGAGCACATTTCTTTCCAAAAATAGTTTATTTCTCACTAATTTAGAAAAAAAATCACCCTCAGCTTGAAATACAAATTGTATATTATTTTTTAAAGGGCGTTTATTTTGGCCAGGAGGGACAGGGAAGCCTAGCATGCTACAGTCCATGGGGGTGCAAAGAGTTGGACACTACTGAGCAACTGAGCAGCAATATTTCAGCACTTGTCATTTCTGAAAAGGATAGCAAATTTGGGATACTTACATATATATATATATTTAGCTACTCTTCATCTCTCAGTTTAGCTGCTCATAGGGGCTTGCCCATAAGATAACCAGTTCTCCTTTGTGTGCCCTGAGAATTGTCATAGTCATTCTCCCATCCCGTTACACAGTATGGTGATGGTGCTACTCTTTAAGGATCTTATTTTTACGATATTGGTGATACCCTATTCCACATGAACTGCAATATATTTTAGCACACTAAATGGAAAAAAATGAGAAAATGTCCTTCACATTGTAGAAAATTTCCACCTATAATTTCTTCTATATGTTGAAAATTAGTAAAATGTAGTTTTTCATATTGGTTTATATAAACAAATCAGGATAAATAACAGCTTATTATCCTCTCGGGCTTCCCTGATAATTCAGTTGATAAAGAATCCACCTACAATGCAGAAGACCCTGGTTTGATTCCTGGTTCGGGAAGATCCACTGGAGAAGGGATAGGCTACCCACTCCAGTATTCTGGCCTGGAGAATTCCATGGACTGTATGGTCCATAGGGTCACAAAGAGTCCGACACAACTGAGCGGCTTTCACTTTCACTTTCATTATCCTCCCACACCTCAGTGAATCATTTTGCCTGCTTTTTGGGATGTGGGTCCCACTTTGGGGAACACTGGTATAGAAAAATTGGATGTAATGAGATCAATTTGGGAGGCTACTGTGATTGTCCAGTTGTGAAATAGTGATAATAGCTTCAATGATAGGGAGGATGGGGAGAAGTGGACAAATGTGAGAGAGATTTAGGCCATAGAATCAATGAGTACTGGTAGTTGATAGGATGTAAGAACTTAAGGAAAGGAGTAGGTCAAAAGATGACTCCCAGGTGTCTGACCAGAGCAAATACATGCATGATGATACTGTTTATCAAGAGAGTTAGTGAACATAGGAGGGGACAGAAAAGGGGAGATGAGTCAGTTTGGAATATATTAAACTTGAAGTATTTATGGGACATCCACATGAAGGGATTAATAAATCTAGAATATAGCTACAAATATGGAAGCGTATGTATGAAATTGCTCAGGGAAAGCATATAGCATGAGAAAAGAAGCTTTCTTTAAATATATTGTTAAAATTAATTGAACATTACACAGTCAACACTAAAAAACTGTTTTGTCTTTTTAATTAGGAGTATATGGTGATGTACATCGAGTGAAGATAATGTTTAATAAGAAAGAAAATGCATTGGTTCAGATGGCAGATGCAAATCAAGCTCAACTAGGTACTAGTGATTAATAATAGTCGTTATTATATGTGCATATTATATGTCCCTTTTGTATGTGAATTTTCCTGTGAAGTAAACTTGACGGCTTAAGTAGAAAGAGTTCCTCTTTATGTCAGTGTCTGCATTATTATTTGGATCTGCTTACATTTTAAGATTTAAAAATGTTTATAACTCTTTGAAGTTCATTTATCTGTTTGAACTTATCATTGATGTTTAGAGCTTTGACTCTAGAATTTTTCCATTAGCTTTAAACTAATAAACATGACTTGTTTTCTTTCATTTTGTTTGTTTACTTGTTTGTTTCCCTTCTAAGTTTTCTAGAACTGTTGCTTAAAAGTTCATAATGATAGTGCAAGAAAGTATCATTTTGCTATCTCATCATTCATTTTTATAGTGGCTGTTGAAATATTACTAGTCAGATATTTATTTTAAGAAGTTTTACTTGAGATTAATTTATTCAGTAGCCATTTCCTGAGCTCATGTATATTTCAGGCATTCTGAAACATTTTAGCACTCTGCTAGGAAAATAGGTATTTTTTGTTGTATTGCTTTTCATTATGGTAAAACAAACTCATTTAATATATTTTCATATGTAAGAGTTTTTAAATTTAAAACCGTTTAAGCCCTCAAACTGACAATATAATTTTAAATGACCAAATGAAAAGAATTATGATGGTTTTACAGAGACTCCACCTTAATACCCAGAGTTTCCTTGTTTTCTCCTCATGCACCAGCCATGAGCCATCTGAGCGGCCAGAGGCTTTACGGGAAGGTGCTTCGTGCCACACTGTCCAAGCACCAGGCAGTCCAGCTTCCTCGAGAGGGACAAGAAGACCAAGGTCTGACTAAGGATTTTAGCAATAGTCCTTTGCATCGCTTTAAAAAACCTGGCTCTAAAAACTTCCAGAATATTTTCCCCCCATCAGCTACTCTGCATCTTTCCAACATCCCGTATGTATCTTAATTTGTTACTATTCATTTCAGTGATTAATAACCTAGGGTATATGGTTTGGGGAGATAAAAACAAATTATTGTTAATGTAGTAGTAGAAATTCAATAATTTCTTGTCTGATGAATTATTTGCCATCATCTCTTAAGAATTTATCTAAACTTACACTCCAAAAGTAAAGGTAGCAGTGTTTAAAATTTTTCTTTCCAAACAGGGCATTAGCAACTAGTTACCTTTCAGTTATGGAAGGACAAAATTACATTTATACAGAGATATTCCATTGGTACATACTCATTCATCCTTCTGTAGAAGTAAAGACCCAGCATAGCAAAATCAAATAATTTATGTTTTTAAGAATTTGATAAGCTTCCCAGGTGGCTCGGTGGTAAAGAATCTGCCTGCCAGTGCAGGTGACACAAGTTCAACCCCTGGGTTGGAAAGATCCCCTGGAGTAGGAAATGGCAACCTTCTCCAGTATTCTTGCCTGGAAGATGCCATGGACAGAGAAGCCTGGTGGTCTTGGGGTTACAACCCATGGAGTTACAAAGAGTCAGAGGCAACTGAGCGTGCATGCAAGAATTTGGTAAAACTGAATTCTCTGTTTTTTAACCTACAAGCCACATAAATATCTAAAAGCTAGAAATTATTTTCTTATAACCAGTCTGTAGTAACCAGTGTTGTAGCAGACTTGTTCTTTAGTCATCATCTAGGTTAGAGATTGACAGACTACAGCCCATGGGCCAAATCCACCTGTAAGGCCCATGAGCTAAGAGCAGTTTTTACATTTTCAGTGGTTGGGGGAAAACAAAAGAAGAATATTTTGTGATTTGAGAAAATTACATAAAATTTCACCTTCCATGAAAAAGAATCAGGGGACACAGCCACATTTATTGATTTATGTATTAGCTATGGCTGCTTTTGAGCCAGTATGACAAAGCTGAATTGTTATAATGTATGATCATCAAAGCCTAAGAAATATAAAACTGGAAATCCCAGTTTTAATTTGTGAAATCCTTGTCCAAAAAAGATGACCGTTTTATATAACATGAAGGAGGATAAGCTTTGGAAAGAAAGGGTAAAAGCTGGGGGGTATAGTTGTATGCAATCATGTGTGTGAAAAGTTAAAGACTTTTACCTTTGGAAAAAGTTAAAAGGGAGTGGAAAAGGGTACAGTTCTGGGACATTTCTGAAAATGAGAATGGCCATTGAATAGGAACAGAAAATAATTATTCAAAATACTGTTGAATACCCAGGCTCCTCACTAGTCTCTAGTTGGGCACATGGAGAAACTTTGCATCTGAATTGGGCAGTGGCTCAAGCCTTATGCCTTCCAGGCAACAGGAGGAGTAGCTTTAGAAAAAAAATCTCAATTATGTGCATCTAGAAATTTAGCACCTCATTACTACAGAATGAGGGAGAGAGGCAACATATTTAAAGACTAAAGCAGGCTCCCTCTTAAGGACATTTGTCCAGGAGCTGGTCTCAGGTTGCAGCCTACACTGGACTTGTAGGTAGGAGAGAGAAAGTATGTTAATATATTTGTAACCATCTACCAATTATTGGGCACTGTGTTGGTGTCTTACATGCATTACCTTATTTAATCTCCGTAATAATCTTCTTTTTAAAATTGTGGTTAAATACATAACCATTTTAACCTTTTTTTTTCCTTCATTTTAACCATTTTTGAGTGTGTGTTTCAGTGTACATTCACATTATATACTTTCATAGTGTGCAACCGTCACTTGTATCCATCTGGAAATCCTTGTCATCATCTCAAATTGAAGCTCTGTACCCATTAGACAATATCGCTCTGTTTCTCTCTACCCTGTCTCTGGTAACCACTGTTCTGTGTTCTGTCTGTAGCAGTTTATCCATAATAACCTTTGGAGTAAAGGTTGTTAGTTTCATTTTAACACTGAAAGTTAGAGGCTCAGATTAAGTAACTTACTCAGGAGTGACATTCCGGGTGAACGACCAATAGGATGTGGATTCAGATCTCTCTCCTAGCAGAGCCAGTTGTTGTTCTGTAAGCCCATCCTTGCTGGTAGTTGTGAAATGAGGAGGAGTCTTCTTTTAGTCAATGGACTGTCATGTGGTAGACCACCGTATTAGTTGTCCACTGCTATGTAACAGATCACTCGAAAACCTAACAGCTTAACAGAACAGTAGATGTTCTTGATCTCAAACTGTTACTGTGAGTCAGGAATCCAGAAGTGGCTTAGGTTTTGGCTAATTCTCCCACAACATAGCATCTGAAGGCTGTACTGTGGCTAGAGTCCACTTCCAAAGTGGCTCCCTCCTATGCTCAGTCAGTTCCTTGCCACAAGCACCTGTCCATAGGGTTGCTTGAAAAGGCAGCTGGTTTCTTCCAAAGTTAACCATTCAAGAAAGGGCAAGGTGGAAATCACAGTGTCTCTCAGCCTCAGAAGTCACGTGTCATTTCTGTAATAGCCTGAGGGTTAACAGAGGACGTCCTTATTCTGTATGGGAGAGGGGTACCCAAAAGGTATAAATACTAGGAGGCAAGAGTAGTTGGGGGCTCTTTTAGAACATGCTTGGCACATACACATGTTCATAATTATCCTGAAAGTAATTGAAAAAGTACTGGATTAGTACTAAAACTATGCTGGACTAGTAGTGGACTATCGAAGACAAATCAGAGCTAGGGAAGGGGCTTGGAAGTACTAGTTAGGTACTAAAGCCGTATGGGTAATAATCCCATTGAAAGAGTAAATGTAGAAAGATTTTCTTGTCCTTTAGATACTCCCCATGTCTCATGCAAAAGAATTGAGACAAAATTCCATTGTCTGGAGACATGCGTGCATCAATCTTGAGTGTTTTTTCTTTTCTTTGCAATGCTATGAAAACCCACTGGGCTCCTCTGTCCACAGGATTCTCCAGGCAAGAATACTGGAGTGGGTCACTCTTTCCTCCTCCAGGGGGTCTTCCACCCCAGGGATCAAACCCAAGTCTCCTGCACCTTCTGCATCGCAGGCAGATTTTTCACCACTAAGCCATCACAGAAACCCAACCTTGAAGATCTTTAAGGGCACTTGCGCAAATCATGTCTTCATTGCATGGCTTTATGCTCTTCGTAATGTGAGATATTCTAGACCTGATGATGTCAGGAGTTAATCTTTGCTTCATTTGAAAACTAGGGATAAGATAATTGACTGTCTCTGTGATGATGTTTTCACAGCCCCTCTGTTACAGTAGATGACCTGAAGAATCTTTTCACAGAAGCTGGGTGTTCAGTGAAGGCTTTTAAATTCTTCCAGTAAGTCCATTCTTTTAAAAAATACATTAACGTGGTTTGCAAATGTTTATGGTAATTTAATGAAGTCTTCTAGAGTTGGGAAAGAGGTTTGTAGGCAAAATTAATTCTGTGTACTTGTTCTGTTTCTTCTGCCACTTTAGGAAAGACCGCAAAATGGCGCTCATTCAGCTGGGATCTGTGGAAGAAGCAATTCAGGCCCTCATTGAGCTTCATAACCATGACCTTGGGGAAAATCATCACCTCAGAGTTTCCTTCTCAAAATCTACAATCTGACTTCTCTGTGAATTTTTCTCCTAAGACTGGACCATGATTTCAGTAGAACCTTCAGACATAGACTGAAGCAGCTCAAGACCAATTCTGCCTCTTTTTCAAAAATAACTCTTTCTGAGTTTGATGTTCAAGTATATAAAAAAAATCAAGGGATGTTCTCTTTTCCCATTTCTCCCCTCTGCCAGTACGTCATCAGAGGCGTGTTTTTCCTTTGTACCATTGTTTCTAAAATGAAAATAATTTTCAGGAAAAAATTTTTTTTCCAGTAATTTAATTCCCTATATTAAATTGGATTTCAAGAGGACAGACTTTCTTTTAATTTGGGTCCAGATCAGCCTTATACAACATTTCTAAACTCCTTTGTACTTTGACAAATTTAAACATAGAGACTTTTAAAATTACTTGATGTAAGTAATTTAAATGACCTACAACCAAGTTTTTAACTTTATGATTCAGAAGTTTGAGTCCTGTAGGAAACTATGTTCTCTTATAAGTTATAACAGTTATTTGGCATATATTGATACTTATTATACATAAATTGGGTTGTATTGGAAGCAAATTGATAAAACTTGGATGTTTTCTTTCATTTTTTTTTTTCCCACTGTAAGACACTCCTTTGCATATCTTTAACTTTTTGAAACTATTTGGAGAATGAAATGTCTCATTTGTCTCCAGGGAAATTATGTGGAATCCAACCAGGATCTATTAAGGTGTCAGAATAATTAATTTTATTCGGGAAAATCATGTTTTAAATTTCACAATGACAGTTGCCTAGTAATATGATCTTGGAAAATTTAAAAAGAAAAATAATCCTACTTATAAACTACTTTTTTATAGTTGTTTTCAGAAAAAAAAAGTTTACAGTCTTAAGGAAAATATTCAGGTCTATCACATGGTTTGACAGATTTTTTAAAAGTTATTTTTGGTAAAGTCTTCTTTTAGAAAAAAAATTAATCTCAAGGGTTTTTTGTACCACTATAATCTCTAATACTTATTCAGAATTACTGTGTATTTACTTAATTTCCTATTATGTGCCTTATTATGTGCTTATGATATAATAGGTTAGAGTTTTATCTAAGTATCTTAAAAGCTATATTGTGGGCTTGGTGAGCATTTGTTTTTTCTTTCCTTGTTTTGGCAAGACTTTTAAAGTTTTGTTTTGTTTTTTTAATTGCAATTTTAAGTGATTTTCAAGAAGTAATAGTTGCTATTCAAATTTTTGGTGCTTTGGTGTAGAAGTGGGGTGGGGAAGGGTTAAATGGTTTTGGGAATAACTCAGTGCACACCTGTAGGCCTCTTCATATTGTGACCAGTAGTGGTCATTGCGCTTATAGCATACCAGTTTGGGGCTATAAAATGCAGTCTCCGTTTCTGGATCTTGTCTAATCTTTATCACCCATTAGAATTTGTCTCAGGATTGCTTGGTTTTTGTCATATACTCAAGTGAGAACTTGCTTTTCTTTGTTAGTGAAGCTCCAGTACTGAGTGCGTGCCCACATATATGCAGTATGAGAAGGAGTGGGTTCTTTCTCATGCTCTGTCCCTCTCTTTAGTTGAATGTAAGCATATGTTTTAATGTTGTTTCAGTGATTGTAGAATGTAAAATTATTTCTTTTAAATTAGATACTTTGCATTGATTACTTACTCCTTCAGTGCTTGAGTAGATTTTTTAAAGCAGAATTTGTTAAAAGGGTCATTTTTGTCTACCCCTTTTTCACTTTTCTCAGATTCTCAGAGTGGCTCATCTCACCTTTTAAAAGAATATCTCAATTTCTTATTATATTCCAACCATTAAATTAAACAGGAAAATTTTAACCAAAAAAATTTGCAAAAATATTGGAGAATACAAAAGACATTCTGGATTGTTCAAAAGCAAAATTTCCTCAACGCTGGGCAACAATTAGTTGGTAGAATATGAAGGACACTAAATTGAGATCTTTGAAGTGGATCAGTTTTAGTATTGGCTGATAGGTATACTCATTTATCTAGGTTTTTTGGGTTTTTTTTCACTTATAAAATATATTTTTACCAAAACACTGAGTAAGAGGGAAGGGAGAAAAAACCAGTTCTTTAAGAAATCACTCCAGATTTGCTTCATTTTTTTCCTTCTTTACAAGCGCTATTGTAATTTTCAGTTACATTTTAAATTGGATTTTTTTTCTTTTCGAGTTAGGAATTACTGTGTAGTTTCAATTCATGCTTCTTGTAACATTCAGTGCCAGTGTAGCAGAAGTGTAGCAGAAGGGCGATCATGAACGGTGTTGGTGTAATTTTGAAGGAGGAAATGGCCTTTATGTTTGAGAGAGAACATTTGAATCCTTTTCAGGGCTGTGTGTGTGTGTGTGTGTGTGTGTGTGTGTGTGTGTGTGTGTATAGATTAGTGTATATACATACATACACTCCTCTGATGTTGTACATACATATGTACATTACATACATCTTAAATTATTGACCAGAAACATTAATCAAATTAAGATTTGGAAAAGTGAGATATTCTTATTTAAAACTGTGTTCAAAACCATCATTTTGTGTCTAAAATTAGCTGTAGCACATGGATGTTGTTCATATTGGGCTGTTTGCTCTTTGAATTATAGAGGTCTACAGTATTTGTGTTGACATAGTTTCTGTAAAAAGATTAAAAAATATCAGGGCAGTGAAAAACTAGATCTTTGTATTTTTTGTTTTGGCATGCAATTAGTTGATATCTTCTAAGCAATGTTTTGTTGTTGTTGTTGAGCTGTCATAGTATCCTTTTAAAGTTTATTTACTTTATTTCCAGGAGAATTGTCTTATTTTTGGAGGTGTCTGACTTTGACACAAATTATATATATTCAGGACTTTTAAAAATAGCAGTACAAAATGAATAACCAACAAAAACCTATAGTATGGAACTCTGAAAAAAAAAAATAGCAGTACACATTAAATGGTAGCAATTTATGCCAAAAAGTTTTGAGATTTAAATAACTTGCATAGTAGTAAATTGTGTTTTGTGTGAGATACAAATAGGAAAATAAGCTTAATAATTTGATAACTTACTGGAGAGTATCAGAATTGCCCAGTAGTGCCTACAGAATGCCTTAAATTCTTTGTTTGAGGCTAAGTTACTTGTAGTAATGTTTCTGATTTTGTTGTTGAAAGTTGCAAATCTCATAGTTTCTAGAGACAGTTTTTGCCTGCCTGATTCCTTATGGAAGCAGTGTTTCTTTGGCTCCACCAATGGTACCCCACTCCAGTGCTCTTGCCTGGAAAATCCCATGGACGGAGGAGCCTGGTAGACTGCAGTCCATGGGGTCGCGAAGAGTCGGACATGACTGAGCGACTTCACTTTCACTTTTCACTTTTATGCATTGGAGAAGGAAATGGCAACCCACTCCAGTGTTCTTGCCTGGAGAATCCCAGGGATGGGGTCGCACAGAGTCGGACACGACTGAAGTGACTTAGCAGCAGCAGTAGCACTATGGTCATTATAGGTTCTGCTTCAGATGATAAGAAGTAACGCTCTTGAATGTCTCTGTTCAGTTTTATATAAACTTTTGGAAACTTCCGTGTTATTAAGCAGCCAGGTTATACACTGATTGTATTATCATGTAATTCCCCTTCTGTTCCCACTAAATATTTTTTGGATGAAAGATGACAAGCTCAAGAGTATGTGTTCCCCTGCCCCCAGTGAGTCACTTAAAAACCTTATTTGCCAAATTGTCAGGCTCTCTCTTAGAAAAACTACTGTGTACTGCTATTTTTAAAACCAAAAAGACACCATGACTATGGGTAAAAGCATTCTTCTTAACCTTTCCTTTGTCTTGATCTGTTGTTAACAAGAATAAAACTGCCAGACTTAAAATAATCTACTATTGTGCTAAAAAGAAATACCATTTAGATTGCACAAAACTTTTCCCTTAAAGAAAATGTAATTCAGCTGTCTCTTAATTCAGCTGTTATTATCTAGAAGACTATTTGCAGTCTTTTTTCAGAGCAAATTTTAACAGCTAGTTGTGAATGGTTTAAAAAATAGAAAATTACTAAAATATCAGTTTGGGGGGTTTTATAGAGGGAGAAAAACAAAAGAAACAGGACCAAAGTTTATGTGCCTTCTTCAGTAGTCTTAATTGCTCTTTCTTCCTATTTGAGGTTTAGGTGGTAGTATCAATATTCTGGTTTTCAGGAAATGCATACTATATAATTTTAAAAGAATGTTATCCCATAGACCATTCTTTCAAGGAAACAGTTGTAACTGTAAAATGAAGTCTCAGTTATACTTTTTGCCTTCCTCATATAATATTCATAGCATGTGCAGGTCCAAGAACAGAGCTGCTGTAAGTCTTTGTGGCAGTCATCTTCATTTCTGTAACCTGAGGCATATGTTCCAGAGAACAGGGGTATTTTTCTGGCCCAGTGACCTTGGTGATAATAGTCATGGTTGAAAGCTGCTTATGGCAAGCTTAAATCAGCACTGTAAACAGATTTTTGTTGTTGTTTTTAGGTTATTTTTAGTTCTTGAACCTGTGTAGTAGTTGTAATAATATTTAAATAACTATTTTTGATGTCATTTAAAAAATCATACTCTGGCCTTTTTTCCCTTTACCACTGATACCCAGATCTGTAAAAAAATTCATCCCACATCCAAAAAGTACTAATTATAGAGATTGCTAACCAAGCAGAGTTTTGCATCAAAACGTCACCTCATTGCTCTGACCAAAGACTGACTGTTCTGGTTTTGACTCCTTTCTGTTAAGCATTTTTTCCCAAGCTCCTTTCTGAAAGAAGACCCAGTGCAAAGCGGCCTTTACTTTCTATTTCCTATTGGTGAATAGACTACTTAGAGAAAATGGGAGTTTAAATGTGAACAGAATGGGTTAGATGATAAGGGTTCAATGGGCATTTTCAGTACTGTATTTAAGAAAAAAAAAAAATAGCACAGCTAGGAGCCTCTGACATTGTCTCGTGTTTTATGTGGTCTATTCATAAAATTCCCTTTTTCAGTTTATAAGAATGTTCATCTAACAGAAGTAAATGCTGTAAATATTTGTAACAACATTTTTTTAAACCAGGCCAAAAAAGGGGGGAAAAAGTGGTTTTGGGGAACAAGTTGACATATAAAGTGGTTTTATATAAAACATCAATTGTCTTGTATATTTTGATAAGCTGCAGTACCAGCTTTCATTTGTAACACAGTTTGTGGCTTTGGAAGAAAAGGATTCTGTGTTTGTCGAAGTGAATCATGTTATAAATGCAAAGAGATGATAAAATATTAAAAAACATATTTTCTAAGTGCGTAGTGCATGGTTAATTAAAGCTTCTGTACACTACAGTATATTCCATTTTCGTTCAGTTTGTATATTTGCTGCCTATTGATATCTCTACTCTCTTTTCCTAACAAGTATAGCATTGTAGCATGCCTTTTAATAAATGTCATGACATCTGTACTCTCTTAAAATATTTCTGTGTTCTTGTCTGTACTTTGGGTTTCCCCTTGTCTTACCTGTAATTCTAATGATCTCATATTTTCTTTCTTTGTCATAATCATCCATCTAAACTTGTACAGTCACAGCATAGCAGGCAAATGTGCACACAGCTTTAAAAACTGAACAACCCTAAATTTGCTGATCATCTCTCGTTTAGTTCAGGAGCAGTTCTCGTTTTAAGAAACAAAGTGCTTTTCTAATCATCCTACAAGTAGCTTTGTCAGTGTCACGCCCCCTCTGTACAAGTACACGTTGGTGTATTTGCGTGAGTGCTGTCTTTTGCTATCTTTCTGTGTATATCTCTTTCCTTTCTGTCTCTCTCTTTCACACACACAGACAATATATGTACAATGCCAAACCAGAGTTGGAACATTTTTTCGAGTTTTTGGCTTCCCTAGGGAGCAAATATACTTAAATTTTGAGACATGAGGTGTGATCTCAAACCAAGTTTGTGTTCTTTTCAATTAAAGGGTAACATAGTTACCAGCTGCCTATATATTTCTTCTCCATAGACAAATGTTTTATTTTTAGGTTATTACTGGATTATGGGAGTCTAAGCAGTCATTTATTTTAATCTTTTATTCTAGGATCTTTTGGAAGTGGGAATTTGTGTGTGTGTGGTTATTTTTAATGGCATAGAGGACTCAACTACTGATCTTTGCTTGCTCATCTGAAAATCTATTGTCTCCATGAATGTAACTAGATCATTTTTTTTTTTTTGAGATCTAGAGGCATTTTTATCAGGGATAGGTAAAATAACCCTATGGCCAAAACAGTTTTTGTAAACTTCTATAAACTTTTTTGACCATGAAATGCTTATTTACACAGCAGAGGCTTAATAACCATCGTTGAGCCACACAGTCTTGGATGGATCTAAGTAATCTAGTAAATGGATCTAAGAGCCCACGTAGTTCAGTTTTCACCTTTTAAAAATGAGTGGCTCAAGGAAGTAACTTGCCCAAGGCAACATGGCAGTCACTGGCAGAGTCTGGACTACAACCCAGGTCTCCTTGACATTACCCAGCACGCTCTGTTGCAGACTGGCATTGCAGTTCTGTCCTGTCAAGTGGTGTGAGTTCAGTCTTAAAGGTCTATACATGGGATTGGGGTGCTGGTGTGCTTTTCTGAGAACTGCCAAGACCAATTTAAAGAAACTGCAT